GTAATTAAAGTACAAAATCAATCTGCATTCTGGCCTCCAGTTTTGATTTCATAAGCCAGCCCTCCCATAGTTGAAACAGCACAAATCAAACTAACATTCTGGCCATGATTTGCAGACAACTGTAAAATTGCTGGCGCACCGCTTAGAGAATAACCACAGGTGATAAATTTAATTAGTTTATATATATATATATATATATATATATATATATATATATATATATATATATATATATATATATATATATATATATATATATATATATATATATATATATATACATATATATATATATACACACACACACTCTCACACGTACACACACATATATATATATATATATATATAATTATATCAACCACCCCATTTTGACCCTCATTAAAAATTTTAATACACAGAGTGTTTCAAAATGTTCCCAAGATATTGTTTTCTTAATGAAATTGTTAATAATTTTTATTTTGGATGACTATTTATACTCACACCAAGCTTTTAAAGTTTAACTTATTTACACTTTTTGAGTTTTTAAGGGCATTTTCAGGTGCGAATAAAAATTTACAAATCATTAACTATATACTTATGTCATTACAAAAATGGAAGGTTTTTAATCTATACTGATTGTGTGCATTTTTATTATTATTCTATTGGTTAACTAGTGGTATTTTAAAAATGCACAAATTTGTTATGGAATTACAAAATGTGATTTTCAAACACTATTTTGTTGAGGCCCAATACACAGCAACTAAAAATTTGTTATATTTTTAAAAGAGATTTAGACAAGGTTAGCTAACTTTTCATGGCTATCCATTATTCTTTTTAATCTCCCACTTTCATGTTGAAGAGCTTCAAATAACCATAACCGTAAATAAAACTGTTAAGCCAGAAAATAAATTATTTAAATCTCTTAAATTAGAGCTAGGATAATGTTGATGCAAACAAGGAAACGGTACTGTTGCAATTTAATCACCAGAATGTTTAGGGCATCTGTTTGGAGAAACAGGCTCTATTGGTGCCCAAAACTTGTAGGAACCTGATTGTCCATAAAAAGTTAAGAAATAGTAAAGTAAGGATAAAATTATATCACTTTAAAAAACCTTTATGCTAAAACAAAACATATAAGTTTCTATTTAAATTTTAAAGTAATTTACAATTAGATTTTTGAGAATTGCGGAGATTTTTGTGAACTTGCAGAAAAAATCAGACCATTAGATAAAAATTAACAAAAATGGAGCTATTTCACAGCCAGGTTTTTGGCAAAAACATTTTGCTACAAATTAAAGTTGTATTTCTTAAAAATTGTGCAGGTTCTTATTTTGAGTGATAAAATAGTTGAATAAAATAAATGACTATATTTTTTTTCTCAAAACTCACAAGTCAAATCATACCAAGTATTGTTTGACCTGCAAGTTTTCTGATTCTACAGTTTTTAAATTAATAGTTTAATAAGTTTTGATATTCTTTATAGTAATTTTATTAGAATATTAAAACTTATGAAACTATTAATTTAAATTTGTAACTTCTATGACATATAATTTTTAAATAAGTTTATTATTTAAAAATAATATGTCATAGAAGTTACAATTTTAAAAACATGTCATAAAAGGAACAAATTGTTTAAAAACATGTCATAAAAGGAACAAATTGTTTAAAAACATGTCATAAAAGGAACAAATTGTTTAAAAAAATGTCATAAAAGGAACAAATTGTTTAAAAACATGTCATAAAAGTTACAATTGTTTAAAAACATGTCATAAAAGGAACAAATTGTTTAAAAACATGTTATAAAAGTTACAAATTGTTTAAAAACATGCCATAAAAGGAACAAATTGTTTAAAAACATGTCATAAAAGGAACAAGTTGTTTAAAAACATGCCATAAAAAAAACAAATTGTTTAAAAACATGTCATAAAAGGAACAAATTGTTTAAAAACATGTCATAAAAGGAACAAATTGTTTAAAAACATGTCATAAAAAGAACAAATTGTTTAAAAACATGTCATAAAAGGAACAAATTATTTAAAAACATGTCATAAAAGGAACATTGTTTAAAAACTATGGCTTGCAAAAAAGTTTAAAGTCAGATTGAAAAAACAAAAAACTCTAAATCATTTTTTTTTCCTCCTCATTTTTTTATACCAGTAGAAGTATATTAAAAATATTTTTTTCTTGTCAGAATTAAACTTCCAATGAAAAAACTTCGAATGCATCAGTATAAACTTCCAATGCATCAGTATAAACTTCCAATGCATCAGTATAAACTTTTACAACAGTGAGCAATAAATGTGGGTGATCATATTGCTTCTACTAATAAGTTAAAGAAGATAAAGAATATACTTAGATGTTAAGATACTTAGAATCAACAAATTGAAGGCAAGTATTTGGCAATGTTTACAGTCTAGTTAGTTTTATTCAGCTTAAAATTGCTGTTTATATGGATTTGATTGAGCAAAATAAATAAATTTAAAATTTTAACTAAGAAATAATTAAATTATTTCCCTTCTTTAATTTGTTGCTTTTTTATTGGTGGATTACTCAAATGTTTTTAGTTTGTTGCTCTTTCATTGGTAGATTATTCACAATCTACCAATGAAATTGGTAGACATACACAAATCTAATTGCTTAGAAATAACAATTTAAAAAAATGTAAAGGAAATGTAAAGGAAATGTAAAAAAAAATGTAAATGTAAAAAATGTAAAGGAATGTAAAGGAAAAGTGGCAATCAAAATAAAACATGAAAAATGAGCTTAAAAAACAACTAGCTTGGTTGATTGATACGCTTGCTTACTAGAAGACACAAAAATATTTTTTGAAATAATGGTAGTTTGTTAAAAACAAATTAAATAATAAAAATATTTAAACTTAAAACAAAATTGGTAGTAAAATAAATTTAGAGCATTTTGATAACTATTTAAAAGAAAACTGAGACTTTGACTAAAAACAATATTCTTGGTATCCAATGCCTATTAGTGTGCCTAAAATATTATTTCATGGAAAAAATATTATTGCATCCTTTGCTCAGCCAAAATTGCTGAATCATCAAAACTTTGGATCTATTAAATTTTAAATTGAAAAGTTGAAAAAAAAGTTGATGACTAACCTTTTCATTTGTATATAAAATTTACTTACACAATTTACAGCTAACAAACTTTAATATAATGTTGCAATGTACAAATATTTTTGTGGTATGAATAATAGTTTTATATAAAATAGGTAGAGGAATAGGTAAAAAGATTTTATATTATTAATCAAAAATAATTGATGTATTTAGGATAATTAATTTATATCATTTTACTATTGTTAGTAAGAATTATCTATTTTTAAATATCAATAAAAAAAAAATGATAAAGTAAAAAAATGATTAAACTTTTTATCTTATCCATGTATTTATTCATCAAATTTTATTTTATCCATGTATGTATTGATCTAAATTTTATCTTATTCATGTGTGAATTCCCCCAAATTTTAGCTTATCCATGTATGTATTTACCCAAATTTTATCTTGTCCATGTATTTATTTGTCCAAATTTTATCTTATCCATGTATTCTTTAAAATTTTAACAAACAAAAAATTAAACTTACTTATAACCTGTAAAAATACTTTGAAAGGTTGCCAATCTAAGCAAAAGTTTAACTTATCTTCTGTGCTTTGAAGATCACACCATTTGTTTGAAATATACTTAGTTAGTAGAGTTGTACAGTAGTTTTGTGATACAGATGGTAGCAAGTTTAAAAAATCAGCCTGCAGACAAAGTTTTATAAATTAATTAGATACAAAAGATAATTTTTTTAAAAATAAAGTATAAAAAACCCATCTTCATTATTTGAAACTATTTAAACTGAAAGTGCAATTAACAAATGAGATCAAAATGAATAAACATATTGCCATATATTATGATATTGAAACCATAAGATCAAAAGTGTTACTGCTTGAGTATAAATTGTTAATCATTATTTTTACATGAATTAAAAGAAGTTAATTATTTTACTAAATATTTAATAAAATATTTCTAATACACATTTAGAAAATTTCTATTTAATATCTAGAAGCCAGTTTAAAAATAATTTATAAAGTTAAAAATTAGTTAAAACCAATAAAAAAACTTTAGAAACATTTTTATAAAAACTAATAGAAACAAAAAATTAGTTTAAATGCAGAGCTTTTGTTTACATGTATACTAAAGAAGTTGTCATTGTTACTAAACAATGTTAAAAAATTTTTTATTACATTTGAAAAAAAAAAGTCTCGCTACTAAAGTAAAAAATATAAAACAACTTTAATTACCTGATTTATTAGTGCATCTATTGTTAAAAAAAAATATCTACTCAACTCTGATGCAATTTCTTCATCATAAAGCTTTATATCAAGCTCACAATAAAACTTGAACAATAGCATATTATCAGTTTGTCTCTAAAAAAGAAAAAAGAGAGATTACAATGTTATGCATGTCATATCAAGAATATTTTAAGCATATCATTAAGAAAGAAAATTTTTGACTTTTTATCCACTTTTGGTTGTTAAGCACTATTTGCATTATTTGTGAGCTTAAATTTTAAACATTTTAAAGAAGATTTTTAACAGATTCTTATTGGTTTACATTATCGATATTTCCTGATTTATTTAAAAGACTTTTAAAAATGTTAAATGTTAAAATGGTAACATTGTCACAAGTTATTTACATAATAACATAATTAAAATATTGTAGAAATTCTTATAAAGGTTGTTTAAGAAACTTAGTTTTTAAGTTAGCTGCAAAATATATAACTTATTATATGTTGTTACATCAGGTCTTTCATCATATTATATAAGTTGTTACAACTCAACTTATATAAGTTGTTACAACAAATTTTTACATATTTTATCCTGTTAGGGTAAAGTGACCGAATTCTAATGAGTGACTAAAATCCAGCCACATTTTAAACTTAATGTTTCTGTCATAACTTCTGTGTTATGCTTGTGATTTTTTAAGACATGAGTAAAGTTAATAATAAAAAAAAAGATTTTGGGTGTTTACAATGGAAGCAACATTACCACAAATATTTTTCTCATAAAGTTTAGATTTAAATTATCATGTAAGCATCCAATTAAAAGGTATCAAAAATTAAATATTTATCACTTAAGAAAATATTTTTTTATTTTAAACTAATGATATATTTTACAAAAATATTATTTTAGCTTTATAATTATGCTGATTCATTTTTATAGATCATAACTCTGACTTAACTGCACCTGGTAGAAACACTAAAAACCATGTCTAAATCTTATTTCAGCCAAAGCCCAAAATTCTCGAGCGGTCAAAAGTTAGCCTTGCCTGTGAGATATATACTATTAGATTTTAATTTTGAACATAAGTAATTTATGATACAAGTACAACTTGATCAAGTTTAAATACATGGATATATTTGTTTTTAGTATTTTTATAATACTTACAAATATTTACAGGTATGACTTAAAAATAAATAAACTTAAAGCAAAAAGTTATGAAAAAAAGAGTTTCAAAAACCCACATGTAGATAATGGCTTTTAAATGAAAACTATATGAATAATTAATTTTGGAATTTTAATTGCAATAAAGATTTGCATTTTAGAATTGCTGATGATCAGAAAAATTTGTGTAAAAAAGAGTTATTAGATTCAAGCAACCTGTGATAGATATGTGAAATGGCTGGAGGAAGTGTTACTTGAGGCAATAAACAGTAGTATTAATTTACCTAAAGTGTTTGCTAAAACTGCTGCTTATGTTTTTCTAATCTTTACTCATCAATTCCCACAGTTTTATAGAATTGATAGATATGTCCATATAAAACCAAATTGAAATTGTTGAATTATCTACTAATACCAGCAATTGGCTTCAACTATGCAATTTAACAGTACTTATACCAGTCAAAGATGTTTACAATAAAGCAGCCAAGGATATGGTGTCTACTTGTCCTGGAGCTAAAACAAACAGGCCAATTTTATAGGACTTTTAAACAAGGTCTGGAATAAAAGTGTGACAAGACTTCAATATTTTATTTCTGGCTTTGAATTACGTGGAACATTCATCTGTCTGAAACCTACTTGCAAACTATGTGTATTTAATTACTAATTCAGGCCTTTTTGATCAAATAAAAGCAAAATGATAATGCAACAACAGCCAAGCTGATTAATCAAACAAAAGACAACCAAGATCTACTATAGGTACAAACAACAAATATTTGGGTTTGGTTGTGAATTTTTTAATGGCACTTCCTTGTTAAAGATTATTCTTGTTTTTGCCGCCATATATACTTTACTTCATTGCCCAGTGAGTCACAAACCCTTTAAGTAAAGTTACAATACAATTAAAATACTAAAGATATTTTGGGTTTAAGTACACAGTTGGCAGCACAGTTTAAGTACAGTTATAATACTAAAGAAATAATACTAAATTTTAGGTATCACATCTTTAATGATATTATAAGCTAACTATTCTCTACAGTTTTTTATAATTTTAACAGTGTAACGGAAACGTTACACTAAAAGTAAAAGTGTAAAATTTTTTATAATTTTAACAGTGTAGTGGTCCATTAAGTGCACTTTTACGGTAGTAGTGCTTGCTTCATAAACGAGAGGTTCCAAGTTCGATTCCCACCACATTCCTGGTAGTACTGCGCTCAATTCTGCGCAGCAGCCTTGTTCTTCAAGGTTTGTATTTCGGAGTCATAGAGTTGAGGGAGAGTTATAACTACAAGTAGCCTCTTATCTGTAGTGGCTTTATCGGTCTTGGAGAGGTGAATTACAAAAAAAAAAAATTGCACAAAATAGTATCAGATTGCAATTTTAAATAATCACTAAGGTGATTATTTAAAATGATTCCTGAATGTCACTTGGTCTGATTGAAAGTATGGCTTTATAAGAAATATCAGCAGATCATTGATATCTAGTTTTTCAAATAGATCTTATTTTATACTAATAATAGAAAGTAAAAAGTAAAAACATTTTTATAATGGAATTGATTTAAAAAAATTTTTTAAATCTAATATTTATAAAACATTCTATTTTGTTTTTAGAAAACAAATGCTGTAGTTAAATCTAAAAATTAAAAAAACTAAATTTTAATGGAACTAAAATGAATTAAAATTTAATCAAAAATTAAATAGTTTATATTTATTTTTTGTTTTAAACATTATAAATATTATCATTAAGCTCAAGAAAAAAAAATCATAATCTTTAAGCAATATTGGCTTTTTAATTAAATTGTTTTTTTACGTTTTTTTTTTTTTTTTTTTTACTTATTTCATAATAATTCAACTTTTTATTTTTTATTCAACTTTTTACAAAAACGAGCTGTTTCTTTTTTTTTTCTTTTTTACCTACAAAAATGTTTTGTAAAATTGTTTTATTTCTTAAGTTACTTTAAACAAATTATCTAAAAAAAAATATCAAATTTTATACTTACTAATTTTGATTGAAGGATATTAACTAAATCTTCTTGGAAATACCTTTTTCCATTAACTTGGAAACGAGATAAGATTTGCATTAACTAAAAAATAATAATAATAAAAATAAAAAAAACATTCAAGTAATAAACAAAAACTAAGCGATATTTAAAAAGAAAAAAAAAAGCTTTTTTATTTTATTTAACTTAAATTAATTTTGAACAGCTGCTATAATAATAAACCCTGTCTGTTAAACCCTGCAATAAGCTATTGCCTGGTTTAAAGTAAAACAATAGTTTTTAACGCTAGCAATTAAATAAACTTCTTATGACTCCATTTGGTTAAAGGCGGGATTAAATTAAGTTATCAAAAGGCTGATAATGCGAAAATATATCCCTGCTATACCCTACAGTTAAAACTGCTATCAGAGAAATTTTCTATAATATTGAGAAAAATAAAAAATTGTATCCAATCAAAACTTGACTTATTTGTTTACGCTTGTATCAAAGTGTTAACAAATAAGTCAAGTTTTGATTGGATAAAATTTTTTTACCACACAAAAGAAGAAGAAAACCGCAAAAATATTACGAGCTATCAAAAAGTAACAGCTCAAACATCATTGATACTGTTTTGGAAGAAAGCGAAGTTTTTATGTACATGTTTTTTTGCTAGAACCATTTGTTATTAATAGTAATAAATGGCAGAAATCCAAGCTAAAAGGTATGTTTAACTAATTTTTCAATTATCAGGCCAACAATACATTATATAATGACTTAATTTTACAATAAAACTTAAATGCATTTTTGTGTTTTTTTTCATGAGTAGTAAACATTTATGGATCACTTAAAATAAAACATGAAAAAACTAGTTTTCATTTTAACTTTTGGTTCTAGCAAAAAAAGTCTTCAGAGAAGAGTTACACTTTGGACCAACTGTCTGAAGCAGTTGTAATTGCAAAGAGAACCAAAAAAATCAGAGAAACGGCTGCAAAGTTTTCAACTTTGCGAAATAACGTTTTTGGTATCATCAAGACTAATAAACCTGGTCCTATGACCGTTTTGACAACTGAAGAACAGAAAATTGAAGAGACAATTTACCTTGCAAAAATTGGATTTCCTGTCACTGAGACAAGATTAGCTATGATTGTTTCTAATTATGTTGCTAAAGCGTTTACACAAAATAAATGTGAAAGTAGAAAAATAACTAAAAAAAAGTACTCTTCAATTTTTATTTCTAACCAAGTAATAACTTTAATACAATAATATAAGAAGATCAAATGTAAAAACAAATCAAATTATTCCTGTGGGAATCTAATAAAATTTCGAACTTTTGTTTTGGTGGTACACATAAGCTTGTGCACAGATTAAGAATTGAAGCCATTTGATGCTTTTTTAAATGATATTTTAATATCTTTAATATTTCTGAAAAGTTTTTTTGTTTTTTTCATTTTTCTTTTAATGATGGCCCAGTACTTTTCAATAACTCTTAATTTTTGGCAGTTTGGAGGATTTTCTGTTTTAGGCCCAAATTTCACATTATCATTTTTATACCATTCCAAAGCTAGTTTACAATAATGAATTGAAGCTAAATCTGGCCAGAACACAGGTCTCTTATCATGTGATTTAATGAGAGGTAAAAGACGTTTTTGTAAACACTCTTTAACATATATTTGACCCGAAAGTGTGGACTGAGAAATATAAGATGCTGATTTTTTGCCACAACTGCAAATAGCTTGCCAAATTAAGACTTTTTTAGCAAACTTGTTGTGTTTTATGTATTTAAATTTCTTATCTGCTTTTCCTCTATATTTGGCAATATAATAGACGGCACCAGGAATTTGCTGATGATCGTACTTGATATAAGTTTCATTGTCTTCAATAATACAGAAATTTTTAGAAATAAATTTGTCATACAACTTTCTGCAGCAGGTTTTTGCACTTTTTTGTTGAGTTTCAGATCGGTTGGCCACTTTTTGTGCTTTGAAAGAATGAAAACCATGTTTATTTCGAACTTTTACAACAAAACTATGAGAAAGTCCATAAATGTTTGCTCACTCTCTTAGTGAAAGGCTTGGTGTACACGCTTTAAAATCAGAAATAAAAGACACATTCTCGAAACTTTCCATCAAAAAATTGGACTTCAAGGTATTTAGCACAACATCCAATTATTGGCAAGCAAATTACAACATTTTTAAGAAAAGCTGGTTCAAAAATCACTGATGTTCACATTAAAAATTGATTTAAAGAAATCAAAGAGTGTTTGAAAGAGGAAAGCATCAATATCAACGAGTTTGATGACCCTGACAGAATTGTAAACTTTGACAAATCTGGATTTGAAGTTGTTCAACAAAAATTTAAGGCTCTATGCGCTACTGGGTCAGAAAACGTGTACAATATTGCAAATAATTGTGAAAAGGAGGCGTATACAGTTCTTTTTGGCTGTACAGCCTCTGGAAAAATTGTTCCTCCAATGATTATTTATCCTGGGCGTTGAATTAGGAGAGATATGGCCATATATACACCATCAGATTGGGTTGTAGGAATCTCTGTTGAGGGCTGGCAAACCTCTAAATCTTCCTATGAGTATTTATCAAACAGTCTTGTCAAATGGCTTGACAAAAACAATGTCAAAAGACCCGTCATAATTTTTGTTGATGGTCATAAAAGCCATGTAAACATCGAGATCGTTGAATATTTGCAAGCTAATTGGTTTAATTCTCATCTCTCTCCTACCAAACAAAACCACAATCCTTCAGCCACTAGATCACACTTTTTTTGGACCATTAAAACAAATTTGGTACAAAGTTTTGGCGAATTTTAAGAATTCGGACCCACAAGCAAGAGTAGGAAAACAAAATTTTAGACGACTTCTGCAATCGGCCGGTGATAATTTCACAAATTCATCAATTTGTATCAAAAATAGGTTCAAAAAATGTGGTTTGTACCCGTGGAATTTTTAATGCAATAGATTTGACACGTCTTCCAGCCTTTTGCCAGAAAGAAAAAATAGTTTTGGAAGCTATAAATGTTGTGCCCAATGTTCCTAAGACCCTTTTTTACAATAAATTGTAGTTACTAGAGTCAGAACTAACCTCACAGCAATTTGAAAGTATTGAAGAAAATTGCGAGAAAGATTATTGGTATGGACCTATCACAGATACAGCGCTTTTCAATCTATGGAAGTCTGTAAAAGACAAAAGTGAGAAACTAATGTATACTCAGCCATTGGAGTTCAAAAGAGTTCATATCAGGATAGAATGTGATGATGTATCGACTCAGTGTGACGAAATAATTCAGCAAAAATGTTTGGAACCAGCCAAAAAAATTCAAAACTGGAAAGCCTTGATTCCATAATAGACTGCTTTGTTTGGCCATGAGAAACGCTAAATGAATGTTCACGAAGCTGTAAATCTAAACATATTCCAACTGTTGCAACAGGCGATAAGTGGTTGGAATGGTTTCAGAAAAAGGATCAAGAGAAAAAACTAAAGAAAGAAGAAATACAGAATCGAAAAATTCAATGAGAAGCATCAAAACTACAAAAAGTACTAGAAAAGGCAGAAAAAATGAAAAATAAACTGAAAAATCTGAAAAAAAGGAAGAAATTAGCTAAAAACTAAATTTTCACTGTTATACAGTTTAAAACTGAAATAAAGAATAAAATATTCGTCCTAATTTTTTCAATTCATTTTTGTGTCTATTCTGATCCATAATTATAGTCACTATTGTTCATGATCCATAATGGCGTTTTTTATAACATTTTGCAAAAAATTTTTTTTACTTATTTGTGTTAGTAAAATCGTTTTGAAATATTTATACATTTATGATAAAATCATAACTCGAACAAAAAAAACAAAATTATTTAAATCAGGATCTACATAACTGCAAAAATTTTATGTTTTTTTAAGTTTGATTCCAAAGAGAAAAAAACATACACAATAGTATATAAATAATTGTATATGTATGCATGTGTATATATTTATATATATATGTATGTATATATATATATATAAAAGTATATATGTATATATATAAAAGTATATATATATATATATATATATATATATATATATATATATATATATATATATATATATATATATATATATATATATATATATTGTTGTTTTGATTATTTGATAATAATCAACTCTTTTTCGATTTGAGAGTGATCAATATAAAGTGAAATAATCACAAAATAGATCAATAAATAAATAAATAAAAGGTTAGATGAGAAAAAACAACTTTTTTACGGTACTTAAAGTTTCATGCCGTTTAATCTAACATAATGCCGTTAATCTAACATATAATCCTAAAGCAATATCAACTAAAAAACGGAACAGAGCACGCAACATCATTTGGTTTAATCCTCCATTTAGCAAAAATGTTAGCACCAACGTAGGAAAATGTTTTTTGAAATTAATTGGCAAACATTTTCCTAATAATAACAAACTACATAAAATCTTTAACAGGAACACAGTCAAAGTTAGCTACAGTTGTATGCCAAGTGTGAAATCGATCATAAATTGGCACAACAAGTACATTTTATACAACGATGCAAACTCTAATCAAGAAAACTGTAACTGCTTAGATAAAAATTTCTGCCCGTTGTCCAATAGATGTTTAACAAGCAGCATTGTATACCAAGCAACTGTAACCACCACTAGTGATTCATCTCCTAACGAAAAATCCTACATCGGTGTAAGTGAGACTTCTTTTAAATTGAGATACGCTAACCACGTTAATCTTTTAACATCCCAAAATACAAAAATGATACTGAGCTGTCAAAACAGGTATGGAAAATAAAAGAAGCCAATTTAGTTCCTATAGTTAAGTGGAAAATTCTCAGGCGATGTAAAGCATATAATCCTACATCCAAATCTTGTAAATTATGTCTCACCGAAAAATATGAAATCCTAAATTATAAAAATACCAATCTACTAAATAAAAGGAGTGAGATTGTTTCTAAGTGCAGACATAGAAACAGATTCCTCCTTTCTCAATTTGACACTGGCGATTAGAAAATATGTTTTTTCCATAATATTATTATTATTGTTAATATTATTGCTATTATTATTATTATTATTTTTATTATTGTTATTATT